TACAAATGCAGGCCAGGCCATTTACACTGCCAGGCACTCCAGTATCCATGTGTGGGGCATTGAGTTGTGGGCTTTCTTGCACTGAGCCGTTGCATTGATAGAGCGGTGAACCAGGACTTTGGAACAGGTTGGTCTGCCTTGTTGGCACTGCTCTGTCAGGCTGGAGCTGGTGTCTTTGACCTTTGCTGTTCTTTTCAATGCATTTCTGTTCATGTGACTGACCTATGTGTCTGCCCAGCTTGTTTGCTACGATGCTTGAGGGGCTTGTTGCAGAGAGGCACATAGGTTAGGTTTGGGGAAACCCTTCTTTCTGATAAAGGCTACAGTTAGGGCAGGATGAGGGAAGGTTAAGGTATTTGTGTTGCTATTGGTTCAGGTGTGGTATGCTGCCGAAATTCTCATTAGGACTGAGGATTTCCCTCGTTTAATTCCCCGTGTGTCTATACGCCACTGTGGCATGTCATTATCTTCGATCTAGTCTCTCCTGTACTTTGTGTTTTGTCATTTTTGTTGTTCATGGTCTCCGACCCTGCAACTGGCAGCTGAGACAGCTGTCATTGTGAACTGACCCTCTATGAATGACAATGAAATGAAGAATTAAAAACAAAGGTATTGACAGTAACCTGGCTGTGTTAGAGAAGCATGATGAAGAGGACAGTTTAAATTAAAGTGCCAAAGACACCTGGTGAGGGCCTTATACTGTGAGGAGCTTTACAATACCGTCTATCAGACAAATCAAAATGAAGCTGAGCATGTCTGTCATAGGTCCAAGAGCACAGGTGAAGGTCTACACAGACATTACTGATGTGCATTTTGATCATTTGTGTTCCCTGCTACATTGACCCTTTCATTTTGGTGTTATCTCATCATCCCATTGCCACATACACAGTCATATAAGGTGAACCTCGAAGTGCACAAACACATAAATATTGAAGACACAGAACCTTTTCAAGCCCCTCTTCCTTCAGACTGATTACATCAAGGTCAAAGTCTGTTCTCAGGCCATTGGTCCGGTTGAACGTGATTCTCCCCGTCAAGCCATCCCAGTGAGCCTAAAGAGAAAAGGCAGAGACAGAAGATAGAAGAGGAGACGTTCAACCAACAGTATCAAGTCTGTTGTTTCACTTTTAAATATATTCTTGATGTTGAAGCTGCAGACTAAGCAGAATAGACAGTTTTTCTGTTTCCTTTTCCACAGAGCCTTTCTGTACACTCTTTTCTGCCATCAAGGTGCCTGCACAGACTTTGTACCTGCGTTTATAACAGTGGGAGGCAATTACCCAATCTTTACAGATGTTTAGGGATGTGATCGAATAAGATGTAGCATGAAAGTGGTTCAGAGTAGAGACAGCTTTTGCTCAGGCACAGCAAGTCATCACAGCACTTCTCCACCTGGAAATCAGGGACTTCGAGGCCTATCTTTAGTAAGATGAGTGGGAGTCACGAATCTGGAAGTTACTCATTCAGCTGCATGAAAGCATTTGTCATACTCCTTTGACTCAGAGTCTGGTACCTGTGATGATACCGCTGCTGTTCACAGACATATGGACATGTTACTCAAGTGGAGATTATTATATGTATGTTAAAAATGGTGTTATAAATATAACACAATTAAGAGAAT